TTAAGTCCTGTGACCTAGTGCAATCCACTTACCTCTCTAAGCCCATGCTTCTTCCTGTGCAAAAGGGGGTAATAATGGTGCCTAATTCACAGAGTTGTTGAAATAAAAGAACACATGTCAAGTGCTCAGCACAATACCTTACACACAGTAAGCGCATGACAAATGTTGGCTGTTGAGATGATGAGACCAGTGATGGAGGGAATGATCAGCAGGACCACTTATCAAAAGCAGACCTTCTAAGGAAGTCTGTGAGTGAGCCACCCTCCCAGACCAAGGGCTCCTGGGGCATTGCTAGGTGATGTTGCTGCCTGGGATAACAGGAAGAAGAGGAGATAATTGTATAGCATGTAACAAAAAAAAATTTCATTCCTAATGCCTTTTCCTTCCTGGGCCACTTGGAATCCAAACAAGGCAGGGTAAAGGTGAGAAAGGCAGGCATGTAGGAAAGGAGCCCAGTGATGAACAGACAGGCCCCAGGACTCACTTTGGCTCCCAGACCTGCACAGAGGAGTGTCCTTGGGGCTCTAGCTGTTCTGCACATTGGAGCTGCATAGCAAGTTCCAGTGCCCTAGAGGGTATGTTTGCCAGGCTGGTGTGGGCCTACTGACAGGGCCCTGGGGGCTGACACTGGCTGACTTCACTCACCATCCTGTATCTGGGAGCAGGCTGACATCACTCAGAGGGCTCCCAGGAAAGCCAGGGCCTTCCCCTCATCCCCTCCCCACCACAGCAGACAGCAAAGAATTCCCCATCTCCTCCTGGAAAAAGTAAAGATCCTTACCATTGCCATCAGATTAGGACAAAATAACCCAAACTGCACTAAGCCAATGCCTTACGCGTGCATCCCTAACAGCATCAGCCCCTTCTGAGGGCCTCCCTGAGTCCACTTCTCTCCAGTTCCCACCCCCATACACTGCCCCACACTCTCCCAGATGCCCCAGGGGACTCCAGGTTTCAGACTTTGGGACACCGACCCAGTGCAGCATCTTCCATCCGGGGGCTGGGGGAGTCCCCAGTGTGTCACCTCTGGCTCTTTCCTGTACACTGGAGCCAGCAGGGGCCTCTGCTCCTCCGCAGAGAAACATTCCGTGTCTGTCAGGAAGAGAGGAGGTTGTGCCTTCCCAGGGGACAACCTGGCTGCCAAGGGTGTGGATTTAACCTACTTATCAAATCGAGGTAAAAGGGGAAAGAGAGGGAATATGTGCAGACCAGAAGGACAAGCTTCTCTCCTTTTTCCGGACCAAAACAGGAACAAACCAAAAAGCTAAATCTTACAGTTCTACTCCTCCACCCACATTACTGACACTATAATCAAGCTATTTTCCAAATCTGTGCATTTAGATGGTATGATTATATTGTTTAAAATTTTTTCAAAATCTTCAATTACATTGATGATGGCAATGGCGACAGGTGAGAGGCGGGGTGTGTCAATACTGGATTCTAACATTTTTAGAGTAATTTAAAAGGTTGGAGATGTCCATCTACCTCCCGGAATTGGTAAATAAGCAACCTGCACACCTTTAGTGGCTCCACGTAGTATCCTGGAGAGCTGGAGGGTTTACACATAACACCAAAACCAGACCACTGAGTCCTCCTAGGGCCATCAGATGTTCTAATGAGGGGAGGGGGAGGGAAATGTCATGCTGGGGTTCAGGTAACCGAGGGCCCACACCCAGGGGAGGCTGTTTGCTGAGAGGCTAAACCAAACGGTGCCCTTCCTGCTGTAGGTGCTTCCCAAGCACTTCCCAGATGCAGGATGCTCTTGCTGAGCGGAACTCCTGAGAGGAGAGACAAGCTTTGGTTGTTGAGCCCGATCCTGGTGCTAGAACCAGAAAGTTTACACCACTCCTTTTGGGGAAAACTTTAACAATAGGAGAGAGACCACCGTATTTCTGAACTCAAGGAAAATCTTTCCAGTTTTGGGTCTGGGGTATCTAGAAGGTCCTCTGAGGAACCCAAATAATCTAAGGTAACAAAGATGTCCCGGAGGAAATGAGACTGACCGGGCAGACATTCTATGTTATTTTCAAGACCTCAAAACTCAGGTTACTATGACCTGTGATATGCAACCAGGTACTCAGGGTTCTGGCATTACAAAACCTCAACTTTGACTCTTCTTTCCCTTCCTAGGTGCTGAAACACTTTCACTGCTGAAGATTCATAGACAGTAAGCTCCAAAGGAGAAAGAAATGGAGGTCAGCAAGTCAGAAAATATGAGTCACTGGGAGGGATGGCTCAAGGAATTCTCAGTATCCTCATTCTCTACCTCCCCCTGGCCATGCTAGCTTCACAGTCATGCTTCCTCAACACAAAATGAGACTTTCCTTTGTAGGGGAAGAGGGAGACAACTGTTTCTAGACCAAATCCACATGCCTTTCCCTTTCCACATGTTTACCCAGAGAACAGTGACCTCAGACCAGTCTAAATTCAGCACATCAATCCCAGGTATATATGGGACCATATTTTTTATGAGTCCCTGAGCTCCCTTTGTTTCCCCTGGTATAGAAGGAGAAACAGAATGGTTTCTCTCAAGTCAGATTTGCCTGCATCATTGCATATTTTAAACAAAAATAATTGAACCTGGCACGTGAAGGTAGAAGACAGACTAGCCCACAAGCATCATTACTAGACTTACTCATCCCCACAAGCTTTCTAGCTTACAGAGCACAAGAACCAAACCCATACAGTCAATATGTCACTGTCAGCCGGGCACAAGTGGCTACCAGCCTTGGGGAACATGATGTGCTAGTAAGCTGAACTGATCACTCCTTGGTATTTCAGGAGCAGTTGGGTTAGCAGATCACAGCGCATACAAAATGAAAGCCAATAATTCCCTCCCTCTGAAGGGGCGGGTAGGAGGGACATACTGGGTTGGTCCTATAGAGGGGGACAGATAGTATTTACACAGGTCAACCTGAAGCCATACTGGAGATTCCCAGAGAAGTCAAAAATATATTTTAGAAAGAAGAAATGTCTAGAATGATCCTGGGGGAGAGGAGAACGAGCTGCACCCTTTATAGCCACAAAGGGATTTAATCAGGAGAATGGTCCCTCCATCAACAACAGTACCACACCTAAAAAAATTAATATGTATAACTGCAGGAGGCAAGGAAGAGGTAGATGAAAGTCCTTAATCATGTTCCTTCTAGTCAAAGGAGTCAAGACTTTTATGAGAGGTGATTTCTTAACCCTGTGTACATATGAATCACCCAAAAATATAGTTTAAATACACGGTACATCCTGGGCCTCAGCTTGAGATCTTCATTGAGCAGTTCTGGGAAGTACCAAAAATATGCATGTTAACCAGATTTCCAGGTGATTTAGATGCAGGGAGTTGCTTTTAAAAAAATGACCTTGGAGAAATGCCCTAGATCTCTATAATAAATCAGAATCCCCCATTTTATAGGCACCTTTCCTCCCCAGACTGTGCAGGGAAGGTGGAAGGAACTCAGGATGTTCTTCAAGAGAACAAGGCTGGCCCCAGTCAGTGTGCCTCAGTGCGTTGGGCATTGGCCCACGAAATGAAAGGTGTCCAGTTGGACTCCGGTCAGGGCACATGCCTGGGTTGTGGGTTTGGTCCCTGGTCAGAGCGTGACCAACGGGCAACCAATTGATGTTTTTCACATCAGTGTGTCTCTCCCTCTCTTTCTCCCTCCCTTCCCCTCTCCCTAAAAGTAAATAAAATCTTTTAAAAAGAGAGAGAGAGCAAGGCTGGGGCTATCACTGCCCTCACTTGGCTCTAGGTCTATCCCTCTCAAACGTCTTCCTTGTCAAGATGTTTTATTTCAGAGATAACATGAACTCTCAATCACATATGGCAGGAATTTTAAAGCACTAAGCAGAGAGGTCAATGGCAGGAGACTGGGGCCCAGCAAACCACTCACTGATTCTCTTGCAATTGGTCACATTTATCCTAGTCTCTCTCTGCCCACCCTCAACAAACAGCAGCAACAAACAGCAGCATTCTTCTATAAGAAGAATAATTCTTTTTCAAGTGGTCCTAATACTGCAGGATGAATCATTTGCATCCAAAGAATGGAGAATCACCAAAAATCTAGTTCCCGGGGAAGATTATCCTTAAAGGTTCATAGCCTGGTCAAAAATCCAGAAGTGATTGGATCCAAAAGAAACTGGAAAGGTACCCACAAAGTGTCTCGTACCTCACCGATCTCAGGGGCCCCCAGCACAAAAAAATAGTGGGGTGCCAGGTGGCACAACAGTGACTCGGTCAGACAGTTTCCCTGTGGCTGAGAGCACAGATCTGTCCCCACGGAGCTTCAGTGCTGTGGCTTGTGTCCATGGCGAAGCCTGTTGTGTGCACGCACACACAGCCTTTTACCTCCGCTCTTCAGGAGGAACCGCACACCAGCTGCCCGCCTCAGAGGCGCTGTGTCTGGCGCTCAGAGCTGCCTCTTGCCTCAGCACCCCGCCCTACTGGGGCTCTCGGTCCACCCCGAGTCGGACAGTCACTCCCCCCCATCACAAACCCCAGCCTTCCTCCTGGGCTGGATCTCAAACAGAGAGGTAGAGGAGGAGAAGGAGATTCAGTACCAATGACAGCGGCACCCTAGAAAGTGGGAGAGGAAAGCCTGAACCCGCCTCTCACTGATCCTCGGCTTCTTCAGTCCTTAGAAACGGAAAAGTCACAGGTCGCACAAACGAACAGTTGCCAAAAACAACCTTTCTCCCTTGGGGGCGGTCGCAGGGCGCCGTCAGAGGTGACAGCGCGCCCTGGGGTCCCGGGCTCAGCTGCCGGGCAGGAAGGGCCCTCCCGAGATCGCCGGGTGCGAGCCGCCCTCCGAGGCTACGGCTCCGGGGGTTCGCTCCGCGCGCTCGGTCCCCGCAGAGCCAGACGGAGGCAGAGCGGTCTGCGGAGGACGCGCCGTGGTGGCCAAACTTCTGCCGGCCGCGCGGCACCGGCGCCCAGCTCCTCCCTGCTCTTCCCCCTGCGACCCGACTTGGCCCGGGGCCGCCCGTCGCTCCATCCCGCGGGCGCTTACCTTCAAGCCATAGGGTGCCCGGGGGCAGAGACGGCGCGGGCTGCTCGAGGCTTCCCGCACCCGCCGCATCCACGTGCGGCCGCCCCGCCGGCAGCCGGCAGCCGTCTGGGCCGCCTCTTCCCTCCGCGGGTCCCTGGCTCCCGGCCCCGCTGCGCCGTCTAGGGCCCCGGCGGGCAGCCGCCGGCCGACTCAGGCCCACGGGGAGCAGCGGTCGGCCGTGGCTGGGCGGGGCGATACGCGGGATGGGCGTGCGGCGCCGGGACACTGCGTGCAGCGGTGCGCGTGCGGGGCGGCCAGCTGCGGCTCCGAACCTGGGCAGCTCAGCCGCACCGCGGCGCCCGGGGCGCTGGAGGGAAGGGGCGGGGCCGCCCTGGCCGCGGCCCCGCCCCTGGGACAAGCCCCGCCTTGTCCCTTCTGGGCGTGGGTGTGAGGGCTCTGCGGGTTGTGGGGGTGGAGTGTGCCACCCTCCCAAGGCTTTGGGGCAGATGGGATCCAAGGCAGGAACTGAAAGGTAGACCACATTGCGCTCCACTCCCCAGACTCTCAAAGTAACACCTTGTTTATGCAGAGATGCACCGCCTGGTCGTCCGTGCCCTCCTTTGAGAAGTCAGAGAACAAGGATTGGGTCGGGGGAGGCACCACCTTCCAGAGAGTCTGGTAAGGAGGAGAGAGAAGTCCAAGGTCCGTTTTCTGACCTCTGCTCTTGGAAACCCTGGGATCAACCCCCTTTGTTACTTGACTGTTTCAGGGGAAAGTCTGCTTGGACTTGACCTGAAATAAAAATTCAGAAAAGGGGTCTCTGGGGTTCCAGCTCACCTTTGACTCCAAAATGAGGGGGTTGGGGGGAAAGGAGGTGGTGGTGAGGATTGTTTGCTGTGGTCCTCTGCTGGGGTCCCAGGGTCTTTTGGGCTGCAGAGAAATCTTTCTCTCCCCTTACCCTCCTCTCCTTCCCTTTCTTGTTTCTTTAAGAATTAGTTATTGACACCTCCCTTTGCTGGACTGTATGTCAGATTCTGGGGTCACAGAGAAGAATAAAACCAGGCCCTTGCACTTGTTCTGACAATCCAGAAGGGAGACCTCCAGGAAATAGTGTAACTTTAACAGGTGCTGTGGAGCACAAACAAGAGACCTCAACGGGGCCGGTCATGAAGAAGCCTACTTCCACAGGGAGGAGGTGGGCACAGCGTCCCAGGCAGAAGGAATACATGGTCAAAGGACTGACCTTGCCTGGCAGGGAGTCTGTCCATCGTGGCTGGAGTCAAGCCACTGGGCCACAAAGATTAAGTTTGTATTTCCTCCAATAACCCACACAATTATAGAAAATTAGAATTGGAGAAGACCTTAGCACTCATCTAATCCCCAATTTCATTGGTCTACAAGGGGCACCAAGGCTCAGAGAATTGGAATAACCTCCCAGATTCCACAGAGATCCAGCACTGGACAGTGCCCCATCTGCCCATGTACAGGCCAGCACTTCTCTCAAATACAGCCATCTTTTGGAGGCAACTGGAGAAGAAGTGAGTAGACTTGGCATGCCTCTCCCCCTACTCCTTGCCTTTGGTACTATTGTAGGGATCTGGGCTGTTGCCCATCCCCCTGCAAGCTTCTTAGGGAGCTATTACAACAATCAGGAATCCTAACGTTTTTACATATTTGCTTCTAAAGCAATAAAACATCATAGTTATAGTGGAAATCCCAGTGTTCCTCTTTGTCTACCCTTAGGCCATTCTTTCCAAGGTTTAATCTATTTAAGGACTTGGTGCCTTCAGTTCAGCATCTCTACATGGGTCCAGAGACAGAGTCCCCCAGTGGACAGACCACCCCTCCCCTAACTAGTCAGAGCACTGGGATTGGTGTCCTGCTTCTGTTACCTACCAGTTGTGTGACCTCAGCTAAATTGTTCAATCTTAGATTCCCTATCTTCAAATTGGGTCCCAAAATACCTATGTCTCTGGCTGCACTGAGGATCACAAATAAGGATGTTTTACACAAATTGTAACCTGACTGCTCTGAGGTGGGGAAGATACCGTACTCACTCAAAGGGCAGGAGAGAGAGCAAGATGCAACCCCCATGGGGTGAACTAACCCAAGGACACTGTAGCTCTGCACTGCCTTTTTTACCCTGATCTTGCATAGTTGAGTGAATTTCATTCTGGCTGTGAGACAAAGAAATCTTTTAGTTTTCAATTAGCAAATGCCTCGCTTTTTAAACAAGCAGCACAGCAAACAGATGCACTGACTGATTGATGACCGGGAACATCTGTGGCCAGTCGGTGACTGCAGAGGAGGCGCCCTGCTTCCGGGGCTGGCAGGACCCTCTAGAGGTCATTCGGTGCCTCCCCCAGCCCCCAGGCAGAGCCGAACTGGGTCCAGGTAGGCTCCGTGGGGGCAGGGTGAGACTTTTCCTTAGAGTGTTCCTGGAAAGGAGTACACAGGGCCTTTTTGAGTTTCTCATTTCCATGTTCCAGAGCATCAGAGTCAGGAAGTTCTTCCTGGTGCTCAACCTAAATTTTCATTACTACCCTTTTTATAGTTGAAAGTGGTCAGTAATAGATGTAGTGGTCAGTAATAGGGGAAGAAGATGGGTCGAGGAAGGTGGGACTTTTGTTGGCCCAGGAAAATGAGGGGAAAAAAAGAACAGAGCCAGCAGAAAATAAGGAATCTCTTACAGGGGTGTCCAAACTTTTGTCTCCAGGCCACAGTGGAAGAAGAAGAGTCGTCTTGGGCCACACATTAAATACATGGTGACACCTAATCACAAAAATCTCATAATGTTTTAAGTAAATTTACAATTTTGTGTTGGGCCACATTCATAGCCATCCTGAGCCATGTGTGGCCCATGGGCCATGGGTTGGACACGCCTGAATTCTACAACTTCCTTTTGTGCTCCAAGAACTGCCTCCAAGCTGGAGGGTGAGGCATGGCGCGGGCTTGGAAAGGAGGGTCCCTGTCACACCTCTGTCAAAATCTGATGCATTCACGGAGGGAGAGACACAGACTGCCACAGCACTCCTTCTGAAAGTCATTCCAGAGAATATAAGGGACATGCCCTCATTGGAGGGGTCGGGAGCAGAGCAGGGTGAGGGAAGCAGCACCACTGGAGTCATGCAGGGCTCCGTTCAAGTCCAAACTCCACGACCTGGGGAAGGTTCCAAGTGTCTCTGAGTCTCAGTTTCCTCAGTTGTAACTTGCGGATAGGGACCCAAATAGCAGGGTTATCAGGAAGGTTAGGTGTGAACGACAACCAACATATATTGGTGCTCAAGACATTTTGCGCATTTTCCTCTCTTGCAGGCAACATCAGTCAGAGAAGTGCTGAAGGGAATGCAGACACCCTCTATGTGCTGTTGCAACTCTGTATTTCTAAACCTACTTTGCAGATAGAAACTGAGGCCCTATTTTCAAGTTCTGGGAATTTTTTCTTTTCTCATCTTCTTCTGTCTTTTGGCATTTTGTTCTTATCCCTTTTGCAAACAACTCTGAGAATGCCTAAGGTGGCAGTCCTGAGCCAGAGGAGGTGTGGGGCAAAAGCAAATAAACATGTCCTTTGATGCCTTATTATTTCTCTCAGAGTATAGAATGGCTTAGAGAGCTGCAGAATTCCTGGTTACTGGTGTTGCTAAGAGAGCCACAGCCCCATGCCAGAATGATCTAGCGAAGGGACTGAAGGTAGGTGAGGCCAGTCCTCCTGAAGGAGGGTGTGGAAGGAGAGGGTCCATTTAATTAAAGGGCAGAGGGTCAGGCACTCTCTCTGACTAGGGCAGGAGAGAGTTTTGACATCTGCACATGCCATACACCTTTAAAGAATGATTTCTTCACTGGTGAACTATATCGTGCTTTTCTATATCAGTGTGAAATTGACATCTGTAGATGTTCTTTGCACCCTCCTGGCTTGAAGCAATAAAGATTACAGGTATGACCCACTTTATGAAATTCTATTATACAGTTATTTAGAGTTGCAGAACAGATAAAGCTCAGTTTTGCGAATTTATTTAACTGCTTGATCAGAGAGATCATAAAAAATATATACCTTTCCTTTTTTATACACCCATGTTCATAGCAGCACTATTGATAATAGCCAAAGTAGAATCACTCAAAGTGTCCACTGATGAATAAATGGATAAACAAAATGTGGTAAATACATAAATGGAATATTATGCAGCTTTAAAAAAGAATGAAATCTGTCACATGCTGTGAGATGGATGAACCTTGAAGACCTCATGCTGAGTGAAATCATCCAGGCACAAGGGACAAATACTGCACGATTCCACCTGCCTGAAGTCCCCAGAGCAGTCGGAGAGTAGAGTGGAGTGGGGTTGCCAGGGGCCGGAGGGAGGGGTGAATAGGGAGTTAGTGTTTAGAAAGTACAGAGTTTTTGTTTGGGAAATGAAAAAGCTTTGGAGATGGAGGATGGTGATTGTTGTACAGCAAATGTGAATGTGCTCAATGCCACTTAACTGTGCACTTAAAAAGGGTTAAGGTGGTAAATTATGTGTATTTTACTGCAACAAAAATATACATAAACCTTGGTTTCAGTGGCCACTGCAGTTGCTATATATGTAAAAACAAAATAAAACATCTTGGAAATTTCCATTAGGTAAGTAGGTGGGAAAGTGATTGAATTTAGAAAGCAATAAATTTATGTATAACTTCTGGAGTCCTAGTTAGGGAAGTATGAGTGGGAACCCCCCAAAACTGGAATGATTTTCTGGAGGGTGGGCCTCTTGCAGTACAGGCTTCCCCCACTAGGTGAGTGTTCCAGGAACCCATCTGTATCAGTGTACCAGCTGGTGCTGTTGTGAGAGGCTGCATTTGGCCTCAGTGAATTATTTTTGAAGACTCTTTCAGTGCATTTGCCCATTTCATGATGGGTGATTTATGGGCACACCTGTCCACATCATACTGAGTGTTTGGCAGTTTTTGACCCAAAAAACTTTTTTTGACCCCCATGCCCCACCCTCCCTATTCACCCAATCCTGCCCTGAGTGACTTGTTTTTGTTTGTTTCCCTGGATGAAAAATGTCTTCAAAGGGAAAAGTTTTGCCGATGTGGAAGAGGTGAAACAAAAAACAGCAGAAGCACTGAAAGGCATCAAAATTGATGAATTTAAAAACTGCTCTGAGTAGTGGAGAAAATATCTCAATAGGTGTATTGCATCACATGGAGAGTACTTTGAAGGTGACTGAAATTTAAACATGTAAGAATAAATACACAACTTTTTATAAATAAATGTTGGGGTTTTTTTGGGGT